GACGACCGTTTCGTGGTCACAAAGGATCCCCTTCCTCAAGCAATGACATGTGATTGCTTGATTGCTTCACATGTCATTGCTTGAGGAAGGGGATCCTGTGTGACCTCGAAACGGTCGTCGCATCTATGTGATATGTCGCACCTCTTCAATAAATAAGACTTTTTTTTAATGCTTATATTGGAGTGCCGGTGTCCCTGCTACTGTTATTAGTGATGGGCTCGGGCGTGTTCGCAGCTCCACGTGCCGCGCCCGCCAGGAAGCTGACACCGCCAATCACAGGCACGGAGATATTTACCAATCTCTGCAGCTGCGGACCGGGATAATGTCTCAGTACCTGTGATTGGTGCTGCGGCGCTGTCAGCTTCCTGGCGGGCTCGGCACGTGGAGCTGCCAACACGCCCGAGCCCATCACTACTTGTAATATGACGGTTGCCATCCGTCGATCACCGCAGCACCCATCTGATTTCTTTTGGAGACAAGCGGTCAGGAGTGCGATGGGTTCATGGATCTACTGCCCAGAAGTAATCACACAGCAAGATGTCAGCGCCACCGCCCGCACCCAGGCACAAACAATGTTCAATTACATCCAGCACCTTCCGCATGCAGAGGAATTCATGAGACTCATGCAACTGGCCCCATTCACACCACATCCTAAGGGCCTATTCACACCACATCCAGATCATTTCCAGAACAGACCAGATTGTTTCCAGACCCAAAATGCATCCTAATGTATCCCTATGCTATTTCTGGGCTCTGTTCACACCAGCGCAGTCCGTTCCAGACCAGACCAGAAAAATACCGCTTGTCTTATTTTGTCTGGTCTCGAATGCATGGAAACGCATAAAAACGCAAAAGCACTGTAAAGCACTTATGAGCTTATTTAAAAAAAAAAGAAAAAACAGCTCCAGGACGTGGCAAAATTGCAATCGGAAAATGGTGTGAACCTGCCCTAAGGGCCGGTTCACTCCACAAAGAGTGTGTTCCAGAGCGTTCGGCTTGCATGCACTATTTTTGCAGATCGCGCTGGACCGGAATGCAGGCACTAATGTGCCACGCGTTCGGGTGCGGGCGATCGCAATGCGGGGGCGTGGCTGCGGTGCCTTTGACTTCAATACACCGCCATGCCCCCTCCCGCCCCCAAACGCTCTCTTTGTGGTGTGAACCGGCCCTAAAAAAGGAAACTTTTAGAGATTTGTTTAGATACATATATGACAAAATGAAATAGTAGATTTTGCTTAGATTACCCTGAAAGTTCCCTGTAACCAGCAGAAACATTACAACATGTACATGTGATGACAGAGCTTCCTGGGCAATGCATGTCTGCTTAGTATATGGCTCACATACAAAACATTCCTAATGGAAACGTTCATTTAGATCCTGTGGGCGTCTTTCACTTGCCAAATATAGTATGTAGCTGCTGGTACATCACAGATGTCGCAGTCCCTCCTCCGGACCACATTTTTCTTTGTAAGGCCACATGGGAGGCTATATTTACCTACAGCCCCGGATATACACATCAGGGACACTTGTATAGCTGCACTGGCCATCTCTATAGAAGGTGCCCTCTGTTATTATTATTATTTGATGTTATCCAAACACAGATGAAGAATGCTGAATGTTTCTCACACTGCTGCAGAAACAAGACCCCATTCACACCAGGATGACAGTCTCAGCGTGCTTTACGTGCCTTTTTTAATACCCGTTTTACAGGCATTTTCTGTTCAAAAGCAATAGCAGTTTACAGCTTGTTTTACAGTTATCCAATGAAAAGCAGTCTTAGCCGCAAAAACGCACACAAAAAAAAAAACACACAAAAGCGTGCTGATCGGCGTGTTTACATTGAAGTCTATGGAGCAAAACGGGCTGAATAAATGCCACAAAAGAAGCTCAGGAACTATTTCACACACCCCAGTTATTCTGATGCGCGATTCAGCGCATTTGTGTGAACGACCCCATAGGAATACATGGGATTTTACATTGCATGCGCTTCAGCGTGTGAAAAAGCGCTAGACGAGACGCCCTGGTGTGAACAGGGCCTTACATTGTCCATACACTGCTTGGATTTGCGAAAAGACCTTTCTTTCCCCTTTCTATTGGTTGATGGGGTTCATCCACAATCGGTTTCCACCATAGTGATGAAAAAACACGGAGAAGCAGGATGGAAAACATTTTCTCGAACGAAATTCTAACATTGATTGTGATTTGAATCCTTTGAAACTCAATTCATTTTAAAATCAAACAAAATGTTGAAAATCCCTGTGTGTCTTGGGGGTCGTATTTCCCAGAAGTGTAAGTGAAGAAATACCCTAAATAGTCACTAGAATGGGAATAGAGGGGCCCAATGGGGAGGCTTGTTCTGATAACTGCCTAGGATGGGATTTCTCTTATTCTGGAGAGATCTCCTCTCACTTTATAACGTGTCTATGAAAACATATCTAAACCCCTAAAAATGTAATATAATGCAGCTGACCAGCAGCCACATTCGTTTTCCTCTTTTCAGACTCAGCACATTGCTACAAAAGAATATCTGCTAGAAATCTTCTGCTGGCCACTTCCTGCGAGTTGTACTAAAATGTCAAACCAAGTTCTCCGCTTTCTCGGGTATCTTCTGGGAACTATAAAATAACTCTCCTCTGTGAAATAAAAGGAGGAGAGGAGGTTTTTGTAGTCCAAATCAGGAGAGCAGCCTAGAGTAACAACGCTGCTCCTCCATAGATACAGTACAGTGGGCGTTGTCACCCTAGGACAGGAAGTGTGTTATTGGTGGGATCACCAGGTGAAAAGACTGAAAAGGGAAATGAATGAAGCCACAACTGGCGAGCTGAACTGTATTACATTGTCGTTTTCCAGTTAAGATATACTTTAATGTGGAGCTTCAAGGCCAAACGGAAGGTCCTCTTTTTTTGCAACCCCACAATAAAAACAATGGCCTTAAAAGGCCATTTGTAACACTTGTGGGAGGGATCACTGAACCCCACCGCAGGGCACTAGAAATTCCAGGAGAATACATTCCTGCCATTGGGTTGCAGTGAATTCTGCTGGGATTCTGAGCTCCCCACCCCTGTTCCATTATTCCGAGCTGAAGTCAGGCCGCAGCCAAGTATGAGCTATTAGATCTGGAATTACCATATCTGCTGGCACCAGACTTGCCCTCCAATAGATCCTTATTAAAAGGATTTAAATGTGCTCATCCCGATTGATACACATATATGTGGTGACGAGAAGGTGGCCTTTAATGCGTGGCCACAGTATATATGCTTTTAATGTTCTCCCATCGCTCACAGCACCGTGATTGAGATGTCACCAACGTCTCCTAGTCATGGCTTACGATCGGGAGTCAGTGACAGGCTGTCACAGCTATCACATGATCAGTACCCCGTCCCCACTGGTGCAAACAAGTGGACTTCCATTTGGCGTAGACGTTGCTTTAAAGCCTATTTAAAAAAACTCCCCCCTTGAGTGGGGCTACCCCGGGACTGCAAGAGTTAGCTACTCATTAATATCTAGGGGTATTGTGTAAAGGCGGGGTAGGCAACCTCGGCACTCCAGCTGTTGTGGAACTACAAGTCCCATGAGGCACTGCAAAACTATGCATGATTTCCAGAGACAGATGCATGATGGAATTTGTAGTTTCACCACAGCTGGAGTCCTGAGGTTACCTACCCCTGATATAAAGGACTTTTACTGACCCGATCCCGAACACCCCTGGTGATCCGCATTCACCTCTCTTCCATCCACTCCGGCTTGCGGACATTTCCTCAGCATCCTCATGTCTAATACAGGGCTATGGGCCCCGCATTAGACTTGATGACATCAGTGGGCCCCTGACCTCCAGAGCAGTCAGGGCTAGAGTCTGTGGGCGCCGGTCTTGGACCTGTGGGAGAGGGGATCAGGTGAGTCAGACTCCATTCACATATAACTTTTGTGTTTCCTGCACGGAAGACCACACAGGACGCAAACGCTATATGTGAAACAGCTGCACGGATTCCGCTCGTTATAGCCGCGAACATGCAGAATCCGCCATGTCATCGCGCGTGCACTACTTTGGGGGCCGCGCGGTCCCAGCAACAGTCTTACAAAGCACATTAAAGTGCATTGTTTTTTTCTGTTTACAGCCGAATACGTGCCACCCCAGTGTGAATGGAGCCTACAAGTCCTAGACAAAAAAAAGAGCAGGTAACCCTTTCACTGCAGGGGTAGCCCAATGCAAAGGGCATGTTTTTTCTGTTTACAGCCGAATACGTGCGGACAGCCGCCCCAGTGTGAATGGAGCCTACAAGTCCTAAACAAAAAAAAGAGCAGGTAACCCTTTCACTGCAGGGGTAGCCCAATGCAAAGGGCATGTTTTTAACTGGAGATAGACTTTAACTACTTCCTACTGTATCCAAAACTAACAAAACTTTTATTTTAGATGTACTTTACAGAACCCCAGGTACTTTTCACAGTAACCCTTGCAGTGGGGCTACCCCTACACTTCAAGGGTTAGGTGCTCGCTTGGGCCTAGGGATGAAAATAAAGACATACTCACCTGACCCTCGCTCCTGCCCGGCTGCTAGACCGGCTCTTGCAGCCTCTTCTCCCCCCGGATCCGGTGCTCTAAGGACCCGTGATGTCATCACTTCTAATGCAGCTGCATTAGGCGTGAGGACGCCGAGGGACATACCACTACCGGAGTGGAGGGGTAGAGAGCTCACTGCTGCAGGACTGAGGATCAGGGGAGTGTATCTTCTTTATTTTCGCTCTTAGACCAAAACAAGCTTTTGTGGGGCTACCCCCACAAAACATATACCTGGAGTTCCTCTTTAACAACTGTAGCTTGGTGCAGATTTGACAAAGAATAACATTAGCCTCACAATCGAAGGGGCAACCCACAATGAAGCTGCTGGGAGTTGTAGTTCTCCCCCTAACTACTGATCAGTGGACTCTCATCATCTGTAGGGCGCTGGTGACAACTCCAAGGCTTCCGATGCATACAATGCAGGAGTGGAGGGTTCTCTTACCGCCTGGCACAGCTTGAGGATGGCCTGGATGGAGCAGGGGTAGTCTCTGTCCACTAGCCCCGGACTGCTGCTCTGCTGGACGTTGCTGCTGCTGCTGGTGGTCCGGACCACAGTGACGTTGTGCTGGGACATGCTGAGCTCGGTCGGGCTCAGGACCGGAGTTTAGGAGGCGATGTGTGACTTGTGGATGGAGAGCTGGGAGTGTGTTACCGCTCCGCCCGAAGAGGGAAGAGTGCGGCCCCCCCCACCCCCGTGTGTACAGCCCCTCCGCCGGAGATCACTCCTTCCTGACTGCTGGAAACACACAGCGACTCTCACACACTTCGTCCATCACACACACTGTCCTCCGCACTGCTACAAATGGCCCCGAGTCTTCTTCTAGGAGGAAGTGTCACCTCATGAGGAACTCCACTACACTTCCCTCCCATCCTGAGACACAATGGACGCGGGGTGCAGGGGGGGAAAGCCTTCCCCCGAATGTCCCCCTCTAGGAGTCAGTCAGCGGCTCTCATCTCCAAAACTGTCGTTTTTTTAACATAAAAAAACTTTATTTAGTTTCCAGAATAAAATAACAATCGGAAACTGGTACAGCGCAGAGCAATCGTCACGTGATTACAGCGGTGTAGATGTGCAGCCAGCAAGACAAAAAAAACTTCACATTTAAAGGAGAACTCCTGCTATTTAAAAAAAGAATACCAATAATAAAGTGCCGTAGGGCGACCCCCACACTGCAAGGGTTAACTGCTCCTTTTGGTCTAGGGCAGAGGTTGGCAAACTTTGGCCCTCCAGTTGTGTTGAAACTACAAATCCCATGAGGCATTGCAAGACTTTGACAGCCAGAGGGATGACTCCTGGAGGCAGATTCATGTTGGGATTTGTAGTTTCACCACAGCTGGAGGGCCGAAGTCTGTCTAGGGGCTCAAATAAAGAAAATATTCCCACCTGACCCTTGATCCCACAGCTTCTTCCCCAGGCTCAGGAAGTCTAAGCCCCACTGACGTTAACACGTCCATTCACCTGCATTAGCTGTGGGGATGCCAAGGGACATACCACAGCCAGAGTGGGTGGAGCCAACCACTGAAGGGCCAAGGATAGGTGAGTATATCTCCTGTATTTTGGTCCCTAGACTAAAACAACCTGCGGCAGATGGTGCTCACCTCTCTACCCCTCCACTCCAGTGGTGGTATGTCCCTCAGTGTTCCTGCCGCAGGACCAAGGATAGGCAAGTATATCTCCTGTATTCTGGTCCCCAGACCAAAACGACCTGCGGTGGTTGGTGCTCACCTCTCTCCCCTCCGCTCTGGCTGTGGTACATCCCCAAGCATCCCCACATCTAATGCAGGTGAATGGACCTTAGGCCCCCGAAGCCTAGGGAAGAAGAGGCTGCGGGGACCAATCTATCAGCCGGGTGGGAACCAAGGATCAAGTGAGTATATCTTCTTTATTTGAGCCCCGAGACCAAAACGAGCAGTTAACCCTTGCAGAGCGGAGGATAGCCCCGTGACTACAAGGAGTAATTTTATAGATTCCTGGAGTTTGTCTTTAAAAGAGAATAACGGCCACAGTATAGAGATCCATAGAATGACCCACCCAAGAGAGTGCACAACATGATAGAAGTTCAAAGGAGGGGAAGGAAATAAGGAGGGGGGGGGGCAAAGGCAAAAAGCAGAGTGACCAAGGCTGGCAGGACCAGTGCTAGTTCTGCACTTGTGTTTCCTGCTCTGATCTCTATGGCTTGTTGGAAGTAACACAGCTTGTCTCATCACACACATATCACAGAGAGAGGATCCGAGAAACTGTTTTCACAATATCACAACTTTACTGTAAACTGTGCTGCTGATTCACCGGATAAGGGTTTAAGTATAGAACCAGGACATATTCACAGACATGTTCTGACCTTAGTAGACAGGGGCCTGACTACAAAACATGGGGCCTGATAGCAACACTTTGGCTAACTCTCCCTGTAGTGGGTGGCAGGATTAATTTCAGTCTGTAGCAGGCGTTCAGAGGGTGACCCTAGCCCCTCAATCATTAGATCGACTTCTGCCAAATGAGCATGTTGGAAAATCATTGGCTAATTGGTGCTTGAAGCCAATCACCTGCAAGCAGTGTTTGGGTATTCTGACAGCATCCAGTGTCACAGTCAAAACACAATGTACACAACGGGAAATTTGTTCATCCACGCTATTTAGCACAGATGGAGGGATCTGTTATATAACTGTATGTACCCAGCTTAAGATAGATAAGCAAATGATTCTTAATGCACAGGGGGGGTCAAAGGTGGCTCTAGTCACAGAGGGGGATCTGTGACTAGAGGATCCTAAAGATCTGACTTCAGCCTTTCTATACTAATCAGCTGCCTAAAGGGGCCCCCTCCTACCCCAGTCCCCATAGCAGCCACGTGGGGTGCTATCACTATTGTTACCACACCAATACTAAGTTGGTCACACAGAGAAATCAGAGGATTTGTTTTTACAATATCAACATGCAGCATACAATATCATACAACTTTGCGGCAAACTGTGTTGCTGAATCAGTGGATAGGGATTAATTATAGTATCACTGTGGGCATTGTGTTATTTAATAACGTAGTTATATTGTATCATCGGTCTGAGCACATGTGTGGAGTACATATATGAACACAAAGTGCTTCATATAATCGAAGTTTTCTTTTATATGATGTTATATTATATTAATCACATTGATATTTATTGTACTTTTGTGGATATTAATTCATGGTTTGTTTTTATTACTAGCGCTGCATTCAGATTTTATAAAGCTTATAAAGTGGCGGGTCCTTGTTAATGGCAGCCTTCCACATAGCAACCATTGGAGCAGAAGACCGTTACCAACCAAGAAGAATATCCGTCTGGCATAATAAACAGCATAGAAAATAAAGAGCTTTTGGCAATAAGTGGCATTAAAGAAGATCTGTAATCCTCAGGAGCATAATTAGAGGGTCTACCCACACTGACAGGTCACTTACTACATTTATATTATCCACCACTCCACTCCAAAACACTCTAACCTAGAATTGTCTCTTTTTGGTCTGGTGTATAGACATCTATCAATAAACATGTTGTTATATAAGCAGTGTACAAAGGAACAGGTCCACTTTACTGCAGGAACACCAAGAAGTACATATTTCCTTACAGTTTATTGCAGTGATCCCCAAACTGTGGTTGATGAGCTAAATGCGGCTCTTTGCTTGCCTTTAACTGGTTCATGGGGCACCATTTCTCCAACTGACACCAACAATTGGGCAATCCTCCCACTAAAAGTGATGATGTGGCACAATTCCTTCTTCCGACAGAAATTATGGGGCACATATCCTCTCTGTGACACAAATAATGGGGAACTATTCCTCCCACTGACACCACAAAAGGGGCAATCCTCCCACTGAAAGTAATGATGTGGCACGATTAATCCTTCCAACAGAAATGATGGGGCACATATCCTCTCTGTGACACAAATAATGTGGAACTGTTCCTCCCACTGACACCAACAAAAGGGGCAATCCTCCCACTGAAAGTAATGGTGTGGCACAATTCCTTCTTCCGACAGAAATGATGGGGCACATACCTCTCTATGACACAAATAATGGGCAACTATTCCTCCCACTGACACCACAAAAGGGGCAATCCTCCCACTGAAATTAATGATGTGTCACAATTCATCCTTCCGACAGAAATGATGGGGCACATATCCTCTCTGTGACACTAATATGGGAGCTGTTCCTCCCAGTGACACCAACAAAGGGGCAATCCTCCCACTGAAAGTAATGATGTGGCACGATTCATCCTTCCAACAGAAATGATGGGGCACATACCTCTCTGTGACACAAATAATGGGGAGCTGTTCCTCCCTCTGACATCAACAAAGTGGCACTATTCCTCACACTGACACCAACAACGGGACACTATTCTGCCCACTGACATCAAGGATGGGGTACTATTCCTCCACTGACACCAACAATGGAGTATTATTCCTCCGTCTCACAAAAACACTTCCACTGATACAAATTCCTTCCAGTAACATCAGTGGAGGGGCACCATTCTTCCTCCCTCTGACCATAGACGCTAGGCCATTTTTTACTCCCACGGACCACAAACCCTATGGCATTCTTGCCTCTCACTGACCACAAAGCCTTGGACATTGTTTACTCCCACTGGATATAGCTTTCCTAAAGTCTGAAGGACTGTGAACAATCTGAGGACCCATGGCCTAGTGCCACCAAGCCTGGAGTCATACCAGCTAGTTGTAGGGCTGAGCAATGTTACATGGGACCATGGCTGCTTGTCACCAGTTTAGGGCTGCAAGGGAATGCAGGGAAGGTGAGTATGTGCATGATAGGGTTCGAGCAGGAAAGAAAAATCACATTGCCCAATATGGGCAACATAAGGTTTCAACTAACTAAGATGTGTTGATATTGTAATAATGTGTAATGACTTGTCCCCTAGCGGGAAGCCAGCTTTATGCTCGGTGATGAGGGAGACTGGAGCTGGCAATCAGAAAGCCGGGCGGCCTGTAATGACTTGCTGCCTGGCTTCCTGATTGGTTGGGAAGCTGGCCAATCAGGAAGCTGGGAGGCGAGTTATTACCCCCCCCCCCCGGCTTTCTGATTGGCCAGAAAGGCCGGCTCCATGCTTCCTTATCACCTGGTGACAAGTGAGCAAGGAGGTGGCTCCCCGGCTAATCAGGAAGCTGAGAGGCATGTCAGTCCCTCAATGGGGAGCCCAGCACTGTATGGTCAACGTCATGACGCTGCCTGCAAACATGCCAAGATTTCAACACCTCCCTCAATCATCGCCCAGCCCTACTGTGATGATTGACAGTGGCTCCTTGCAGGAGTCTCCCTTTCAAAATGCAGAGCATACAAATGGGGAACATACCGCCCCCATCTAACTATGCATACCGCCCCCATCTAACTATGCATACTGCCCCCATCTAATACGCATACTGCCTCCATCTACTATGCATACATGTCCTCTGCTTTGGGAAGAAGGGAGAGAATGGAGCCTGTGTAGTCACATGAAACACAAAATACGACACACACGTGGCACAATATAACATTTGCAAAAAGCTACTAAAGGTTCCTTTTATAAAAATGGAAATGTGTCAATAGTTAGGAAACATATTTACTGTGTAGGGTTGC